TTGCAGTTTGGTATCAGAGCCCGGTTCCCTCTTTTTGCTGTTATGGCGTACTATACCCTATGCGAGGTTAAACACTCCTAAGGAGGGGAGTACCCCATAATGACTTAAACTGGGAATTGAGTATGACATGATTATGTGTATTGGTATGTTGGATGAAATTATCTGCATCATGGTTTTTTCAAAATTGAGTTTTGAACTTCTATGTTTTCCAGTAATTATTTTGGGAAAATTTTGTTTTAACCAAGTGAGAGATTTGGTGAAGAATGAATTTATTGTGGATCAATCTAAGGCCAATATTTCCTTGTATCTCGCACGGAAGTTGTGAAAATGTTCCTACTAACCAGTCGAGAGGAGTGGGGGCGGTTGATGCAAGACCGCCAGTATTAGATTAAGCAAAGATGAAGAGTTTGGGTGGTAGGGACTTCAAGGGAGATGTGAGTCCAGATGCTGTAGTAGAGTGGTTGAGAGAGATGGAATATGTGTTTGAGTATCTTTATGCGACCCCAAAGGAAAAAGTACAATATGTTGTTTTTCTCCTAAAGGGGTACGCGAGGAGCTGGTGTTCCTCAGTCTCTAGAGTTAATGGTGAACGAGTTCAGTTCACTTGGGAGGAGTTCTTGAAGGCCTTTAAAACAGAGTTTCTTCCCGAAGCTTTTATCGGGGCAAAGAATAATGAATTCGCCAACCTTAAGCAGGAGAACATGACAGTTACTGAGTACACCATCAAGTTTGTTCGACTACTCTACTTTGAAGATGGGTTGGCGGATACTGAGCATAAGAAGAAGATGAAATACTTACATGGTCTGCGCCTAGGGTTGAAAGAAAAGATCCACAGGGTTGATGAAGAGAGTATGGCCACTATCAAGGAGGCAGCACTTAAGTATGAAGCCTATGAAGTTGAGGGTAGAGAGGAACACAAGGCCAAAGAAGAGGAAGTTTGGAGTGAGTTATTCTGGACCTCGTTACCCATCCAAGAGAGGTCCCAGGGGTTATGTGAGAACATCGAGTCAATCTATATCAGGAACATCATACAAGGCACCAGTTTCCTCAGCCACACCGGCTCCAGTTTGTCAAGTTTGTCAGAAGGGACACTTTGGAGAGTGTTGGAGGTTTTCTGGAGTTTGCTTTCAATGCGGCCAGCCGGGTCACATTATGAGGAACTGTCCTTATAGGGGAGGAGGAAGACCTACTCAGTCCAAACCTTCAGTTCACTTTAGTAGAGCCCCAGCCAGAGGTGGTTACCAGGGAGTCCGTAGTGGATTTCAGAGTGGTCGTGATGGTTCACAGGGTGGTAGAGGTGGTGGTCAAAATCAGCCATCAGGAAGTGGTACGCAGGGTACCAGAGCACAGGGAGCACCGAGGGTTTATGCAATGACTCGAGGTGAGGCAGAAGTGGCACCAGAAGTTGTGACTGGTATGCTTTCTATCCTTGGCAAGCAATTATATGCTTTGATCGATACTGGTTCCTCTCACTCATTCATGTCACATACGTTTGCACATATGCTACGCTTAGTTCCAGATAAGCTAGGTTATACCTTATGTGTTAAAACACCTGTGGGAGATACCTTAAAGGTAGATTCAGTTATTAGAAGTTCCTTCATTTGTGTGGAAGGAGCTTTCCTAGCAGCAGATTTAATTCTGCTACCTTTTGATGAATTTGTTGTCATCCTTGGAATGGACTTTCTGGCAACACATGGAGTTGTTGTGGATTGTCAAAAGAAAGAAGTGTTATTCAACACACCAGATAAAGGTCTTGTTGTATTCCGAGGCATTAAGAAAAAGGAGACTCATGGTTTTCTTTCTTCCTTGGAAGCTTTTCGATTAGTGAAGGAAGGTTGTGAAGCCTTTCTTGCTCAAGTTAGTGTTGTAAATGATAAGAAGGTTGAGGATGTAGAGGTGGTAAGGGAGTTTCCTGATGTATTCCCCGAAGAACTTCTCGGCCTTCCACCAGAAAGGGAAATAGAGTTTGATATTGAATAGGTACCTGGCACAATACCAATTTCAATAGCACCATATAGAATGGTACCAATTGAGCTGAAGGAGCTTAAAGAACAATTGCAAGAATTGCTAGACAAGGGGTTTATTCGGCCTACCATCTCACCTTGGGGTGCACCGGTTTTGTTTGTCAAGAATAAAGATGGCTCCATGAGAATGTGCATTGACTACCAAAAGATGTGTCTGAGTTGAGAAGTTTTCTTGGCATGGCTGGTTATTATCAGCGGTTTGTATAAGGATTTTCCAAAATTGCCGCGCCATTGGCTAAACTGTTGAGGATGGATACCATGTATGTTTGGGATGAATCATGTCAAAAGAGTTTTGATGAACTGAAAAAGAAATTGACCACAACACCAGTACTGGCTTTACCTTCAAACCATGGAGAGTTTGTGGTGTATAGTGATGCCTCGTATCAAGGATTGGGTTGTGTGTTAATGCAAGATGGAAGAGTTATCGCATATGCCTCTAGGCAATTGCGTCCTTATGAAGTAAATTATCCCACTCATGATTTGGAGTTGGTAGCGGTGGTATTTGCTCTCAAGATTTGGCGACATTATTTGTATGGTGAGACTTTAAAAATCCTCACGGATCATAAAAGCCTGAAGTATATTATGGATCAAAAGGATTTAAATAGTCGCCAAAGGAGATGGATTGAACTTCTAAGAGATTATGATTGTACAATTGATTACCATCCAGATAAAGCAAACGTAGTTGCTGATGCCCTAAGCAGAAAGGGGAAAAAGAACATAAATGATCTGGTTGATTTGAGGGCAATGAATGTTGATTTGGAAGTGGATGGTGTGACAGGATTACTAGCTCGGTTAAACATTCAACCTTTGTTGCATGACAAAATTCGTGAGAAGCAGAAGGAGGACCCAGAGTTGGAAAAAATCATTCAAGACATTGAGGAAGGAAAAGAAAGCCCATTTGAAATGGTAGATGGCATGTTGAAGATGAATGGAAGAGCATGTGTTCCTAATGTTGATAACTTGAGGAAAGAGATCCTAGATGAAGCTCATTCTTCTGCTTATGCTATGCACCCAGGAGCAACTAAAATGTATCACACAATCAAACCATATTTTTGGTGGCGTGGGATGAAAAAGGAAGCAGCTGAACATGTTTTCACATGTCTGGTATGTCAGAAAGTTAAGTGATAACGATGTAATTGCACATATTTGCGCCCCTAGTTCTTATCCGTTTGAGGGGCATAGTCGTGTATTGTGGCCTATTTTACGCCGGGTTGTGCTATTTTGTCATGTTTCAGGTCCCAGGTGTCAAAGGGAAGGCTAAGCGCGAGTTTCGGGGCATTCGGAAGTCATTTCGGTGAGCTGGAGCCAAAACACGGGCACACCTAAATCATTACACGGCCGTGTTCTGGTGGCCGTGCTTTTTATGCCGAGAGCTGAGCTGATTACACGGGCAGGGCCAAAACAAAGCACGGGCGTGTTCAAGCATTACACGGCCGTGTCCAAAGCGAAGCACGGCCGTGTTTCTCCCCACTGCTGCTAGTGTAATTAACACTAGCCAAAGCACGGGCGGGCTGAGGCATTACACGGCCGTGCCCTCGACCGTGCTTTGGCTGATGCCTTTTTAAGCAGATTTTCAGCCAAACAGAAGGGGGATTCGAGTTTTTGAGAGAGAGATCAGTTCCTAGAGAGAGAAAGTGACGAGCAAGAGTTCCCAAGTGCCCTAGATTGGTCTTCAACACCATTGGAGGCCAGCTTGAGCTTGGAGAAGTGCCAATCAACGTCCAGAAGCAGGAATCCATCCTTCGCAGTATGAATTCCGTGTCTGATTCTGCTTTTACTTTCTTCTCTATGGAGTAGTTCTCCCATTCATCTGGGTATGGAGAACCCTAGATTTGTATGTTAGGCTTTGATTGTATGAACCCAAGTACTGATTCTGTGATTGATTATATTCGATTGAGGTTTTAATGATTGAATGACTTGAATCCTGATCAAATTCCTGTTGTTTCTGCTTTAACCTAGAATGAGAATATCTGCCTAGGTTAATAGAGTATCCTTGATTGAAGGTAGGGAGTTGGTGACTTTAGTCGAGGAGCCAACTCACTATTCTGTACCGGATTTACTCCGGTAGTGGAGGTTTTGTTCTTAGGGCCTCAATCTGTCGACTCCGGTGGAGGTTAGTCGCCCGCTAGAGAGTCAGATTGAGAGGGTCTGAAGACCTTTAGTCGAGACTTCAGGCTGTTTAAGAACCTTCCGCAGAATAATCTTTATAGAAACTGAACTTGGTAATTACAATCCGGCTTAACTGCAGTCTAGGGGGAACCATATCCGGGTGACCTCTTTAACCTGAATACAACCGTTTACTTGCTTTGTTAGTTTGTTAGTTTAGACTTGCATTCTAGTTTCATTGCTAGATAACAAGAATTCACTGAGTAGTCATCAAATCTAGGACCCGGGTTGACATATAAACCTAACCCGCTATACTACGCTTTAGGAAGTGGTTTCACTTGGCCAATTCCTGGAGTGACAGTAGAGTCGAGTCATTAAGGCAGAACATCAAGCTCCTGTAGGGAAACTGCAACCACTTCCAAATCCAGAATGGAAGTGGGAAAGAATTACAATGGATTTTGTATATGGTCTCCCATCATCAAGGGGAAAAGATGGTATGGGTTATTGTGGACCGACTGACCAAATCGGCTCACTTTTTACCCATTAGATGGAAACCATCATTGGACACTTTGTCTCAACTATATATTAAGGAGATCGTCAGATTGCATGGTGTGCCAATTTCTATTGTCTCTGATCCAGACCCGAGCTTCACATCTCGGTTTTGGCAAAGTTTACATGATGCCTTGGGAACTAAACTGCATTTTACCTCAGCTTACATCCTCAAATAGATGGGCAGAGTGAACGAACCATCCTTACCTTGGAAGAGTTACTTCGATCATGTGTAATGCAATGGGAGGAATCATGGATTGACCATTTGCACCTAATTGAGTTTGCTTACAACAACCAGTACCATAGTAGCTTGGGTGTTCCACCATATGAAGCACTTTATGGGAGGAAGTGTAGAACACCATTATGTTGGGATGTAGAAGGAGCAAGGCAAATCTCAGGGCCAGAGATAGTTCAAATTACAGTTGACAAGGTCAAGGAAATCAGGGAGCATTTGAGGGTGGCTCAAGATCGACACAAAGTTTATGTTGACACAAATAGGCGTGAAGTTAATTTCGAAGTGGGTGAGAAAGTATTTCTCAAAGTGTCACCCTGGAAAGGCGTAATGAGATTTGGTATGAAAGGGAAACTTGCACCTCTCTATATTGGACCTTATGAAATCATAGAGAAGATTGGACCAGTGGCATATAAACTGGCATTGCCTCCAGAGCTATCCCAAATCCACAATGGATTTCATGTTAGTATGCTGAAGAGGTACAAAGTGGATCCTTCCCATGTTATCAACCAGAAGATATCGAGTTGGGTCCAGATTTGACATTTGAAGAGGTTCCAGTTGAGATTGTTGATTACCATATTAAGAATCTTCGTAGGAAGGAAATCCCGATGTTGAAAGTGGTTTGGAGAAATCAATATAGTGAGAGTGCTACCTGGGAGACTGAAGCAAGTATGCGAGAGAAGTGCCCTGAGTTAGTAGTAACCTACTTTGCAGGTTAACAATCTTGCCTAATAAGTTAATGTTTTGAACTTGCTGATGTGCTTTTGTTATGATAGCCCAGTATAGGTTTTTGAAACCTAAACATGGGAACTTGAGGAGTTATGTGTTACCTTATATGTTATGAATCACTTAACCTAAGAGTTAGGTAATGGTTTATCTACGATAGACCATGTCTAGGGTGAGTAAGCGGACTTAGAGTACAACTCAAGGATAGATTTCGGGGACGAAATGTAACACCCTACCCTATACGTATTACCTAATCATATTGTTCATACAATTGCAGCGGAAATAATCTCGGGTGTTACATTAATTATCATGATACGACAAACCCGGTATGCCGTGCTAATCCCTCACCAGTTCTGGTCGTTCAAACACCGGTTTTAGCTTCCCGTACTAAAACGTCAATTTCACGAACGAATCCCGAATTAAAATCCGAGACCGTCCTAATACCCCCTGCAGTATCCCCGTCAATATTAGTTCTGGGCTCCAGGCCAAATTCTTGATAAAAACACATCAAACCCTGGCCGGAGCTAAATTCAGCGGTTTGGACCCCGGCCTAAATAATAGCCGAAAATCAGGAATTAGAACTAGGGGATTGATTACCTCGCTGCAGGAAGCTCGTATATGAAATTCGGGCTCAATCTGGCTTCCGGATACTCCGAAACCCTAATTTGGCAGATCGGGAATTCAAGAAATTCCTGAACCAAAAACTCGTTTTAAAACTCTAAATCGATAAATCACGATGTATGGATGAATTAGGCATTACTTACGGGATTTTTGGATCACTGTAGCTCAAGATTGGAGCTTGGGAATTTTTCACAGAAGCCTCCCTGTGCGTGCTCTGCTTCTCGTTTACTCTCGTTTGAGAAATTGAAAAAGTGATGATGATGATGATAATGGACGGGGAAGTTATATATGTCCGGCCGCTTAGTTAATATATATATATATATATATATTATATATATAATTAATACGTATACTTATCCGATCGATCGATAATCCGATTTTCGCCGAAATACTATTAAAACGCTCGATTTTAAATCGCGAACTTTCTAGCGATCAAAATATGGGTTTAGCCGAAATGGGATGTTACAATTCTCCCCTCCTTAAAAGATTTCGTCCCCGAAATCTATTCTTGAGTCGATGGTACAAATCCGCTCATTCCCCCCCCCCCCCCTAACCTACACTATCACAAATCTTGTTACTACCTTACTTTTAGGTTAGGAGATTCATAACATAGAGAGTAACACATAACACCTCAAGTTCCCATGTTTAGGTTTCAAAAACCTATACTGGGCTATCACAACAAAAGCACATCAACAAGTTCAAAACATAACTTATTAGGCAAGATTGTTAACCTGCAAAGTAGGTTGCTACTAACTCAGGGTACTTCTCTCTCATACTTGCTTCAGTCTCCCAGGTAGCACTCTCACTATCTTGATTCCTCCACACAACCTTCAACATTGGAATTTCCTTTCTACGAAGAGTTTTAACCTGATGGTCAACAATCTGCACTGGGACTTCTTCAAATGTTAAATCTGTACCCAACTCGATCTCTTCTGGTTGTATAACATGGGAAGGATCCACTTTGTACCTTTTCAGCATACTAACATGAAATACATTGTGGATTTGAGATATTTCTGGAGGCAATGCTAACTTATAAGCCACTGGTCCAATCTTCTCTGTGATTTCATATGGCCCAATATATCGAGGTGCAAGCTTTCCTTTCTTACCAAATCTCATCACCCCTTTCCATGGTGACACTTTGAGAAATACTTTCTCACCCACTTCGAAATGAACTTCACGCCTATTCGTGTCAACATAAACTTTCTGTCGATCTTGAGCCACCCTCATACGCTCCCTGATTTCCTTGACCTTATCAACTGTGATCTGAACTATCTCTGGCCCTGAGATTTGCCTTGCTCCTTCTACATCCCAACATAATGGTGTTCTACATTTTCTCCCATAAAGTGCTTCATATGGTGGAACACCCAAACTACTATGGAACTGATTGTTGTAAGCAAACTCAATTAAGGGCAAATGGTCAATCCATGATTCTTCCCATTGCATTACACATGATCGAAGTAATTCCTCCAAGGTTAGGATGGTTCGTTCACTCTGCCCATCTGTTTGAGGATGATAAGCTGAAGTAAAATGTAATTTAGTTCCCAAGGCATCATGTAAACTTTGCCAAAACCGAGATGTGAAGCTCGGGTCTCGATCAGAGACAATAGAAATTGGCACACCATGCAATCTGACGATCTCCTTAATATATAGTTGAGACAAAGTCTCCAGTGATGGTTTCCATCTAATGGGTAAAAAGTGAGCCGATTTGGTTAGTCGGTCCACAATAACCCATATTGCATCTTTTCCCCTTGATGATGGGAGACCATATACAAAATCCATTGTGATTCTTTCCCACTTCCATTCTGGAATTGGAAGTGGTTGCAGTTTTCCCACAGGAGCTTGATGTTCTGCCTTAACTTTCTGACATACTAGACATGTGAAAACATGTTCAGCCGCTTCCTTTTTCATCCCACGCCACCAAAAATATGGTTTGATCGTGTGATACATTTTAGTTGCTCCTGGGTGCATAGCATAAGCAGAAGAATGAGCTTCATCTAGTATCTCTTTCCTCAAGTTATCAACATTAGGAACACATGTTCTTCCATTAATCTTCAACATGCCATCTACCATTTCAAATGGGCTTTCTTTTCCTTCCTCAATGTCTTGAATGATTTTTACCAACTCTAGGTCCTCCTTCTGCTTCTCACGAATTTTGTCGTGCAACAAAGGTCGAATGTTCAACCGAGCTAGTAACCCTGTTACACCATCTACTTCCAAATCAACATTCATTGCCCTCAAATCAACCAGATCATTTATATTCTTCTTCCCCTTTCTGCTCAGAGCATCAGCAACTACATTAGCTTTACCTGGATGGTAATCAATGGTACAATCATAATCTTTCAACAACTCTATCCATCTCCTCTGGCGACTATTTAAATCCTTCTGATCCATAATATACTTCAAGCTTTTGTGATCAGTTAGAATTTTAAAAGTCTCACCATACAAATAATGTCGCCAAATCTTGAGAGCAAATACCACCGCTGCCAATTCTAAGTCATGAGTTGGATAATTTACTTCATGAGGACGCAATTGCCTAGAGGCATATGCGATAACTCTTCCATCTTGCATTAACACACAGCCCAATCCTTGATACGAGGCATCACTATACACCACAAACTCTCCTTGACTTGAAGGTAGTGCAAGTACTGGTGCTGTGGTCAATCTCTTTTTCAGTTCATCAAAACTCTTTTGACATGATTCATCCCAAACATACTTAGTATTCTTCCTCAACAGTTTAGTCAATGGTGCAGCAATTTTAGAAAATCCTTCTACGAACCGCCGATAATAACCAGCCATGCCAAGAAAACTTCTCAACTCCGACACATCTTTTGGTGGAGTCCAACTCACCACTGCTTCCACCTTTTTCGGATCCACCTCGACACCTCTTCCAGAAATTACATGTCCCAGAAATATTACCTCCTTCAGCCAAAACTCACATTTTGAGAATTTTGCATATAATTGTTTCTCCCTTAGAATTTGCAACACAATTCTAAGGTGAGTTTTGTGCTCCTCCTCGCTTTTAGAATAGATGAGAATATCATCTATGAACACAATCACAAACTTATCAAGATATTCATGGAAAACTCTGTTCATAAGAGCCATAAATACCGCTGGTGCATTAGTGAGTCCAAAAGGCATTACCAGGAACTCATAATGCCCATATCTTGTTCTAAAAGCTGTTTTTGAGGTTGCTCCATCTGCCACTTTCAATTGATGGTATCCAGATCTCAAATCAATCTTAGAAAAGACTGAGGCACCCTGCAATTGATCAAACAAATCATCTATTCTTGGAAGGGGATAACGATTCTTCACTGTCGCCTTATTCAACCTCCGGTAGTCAATGCACATTCTCATGGAACCATCTTTCTTCTTGACAAACAAAACCGGTGCACCCCAAGGTGAGATGCTAGGTCGAATAAACCCCTTGTCTAACAATTCTTGCAATTGTTCTTTAAGCTCCTTCAGCTCAATTGGTGCCATTCTATATGGTGCCATTGAAATTGGTGTTGTGCCAGGTACCAATTCAATATCAAACTCTACTTCCCTTTCTGGTGGAAGGCCGGGAAGTTCTTCAGGGAATACATCAGGAAATTCCCTTACCACCTCTACATCCTCAACCTTCTTATCATTTACTATAGTAACTTGAGCAAGAAAGGCTTCACAACCTTCCTTCACTAATCGAAAAGCTTCCAAGGCAGAAAGAAAACCATGAGTCTTTTTCTTAATGCCTCGGAATACAACAGGACCTTTATCTGGTGTGCTGAATAACACTTCTTTCTTTTGACAATCCACAACAGCTCCATGTGTTGCCAGAAAGTCCATTCCAAGGATGACATCAAATTCATCAAAAGGTAGCAGAATTAAATCTGCTGCTAGGAAAGCTCCTTCCACACAAATGAAGGAACTTCTAATAACTGAGTCTACCTTCAAGGTATCTCCCACAGGTGTTTTAACACATAAGGTATAACCTAGCTTATCTGGAACTAAGCGTAGCATATGTGCAAACGTATATGACATGAATGAGTGAGAGGAACCAGTATCGATCAAAGCATATAATTGCTTGCCAAGGATAGAAAGCATACCAGTCACAACTTCTGGTGCCACTTCTGCCTCACCTCGAGTCATTGCATAAACCCTCGGTGCTCCCTGTGCTCTGGTACCCTGCGTACCACTTCCTGATGGCTGATTTCGACCACCACCTCTACCACCCTGTGAACCACCACGACCACTCTGAAATCCACTACGGCCTCCCTGGTAACCACCCCTGAATGGGGCTCTACTCATTTGCACTGAAGGCTCGGACTGTGTAGCTCTTACTTCTCTCGCATGCGGGCAATCCCTCATGATGTGCCCAGGTTGGCCACACTGAAAGCATACACCAGAAAATCTCCTACACTCTCCAAGATGCCTCTTCTGACAAACTTGACAAAATGGAAATTGTGTGGCTGAGGAAATTGGTGCCCTGTATGATGTTCCTGACATAGATTGATTCGGTGTTCTCCCAAAACTGCTAGGACCTCTCCTGGGTGGGTAACGAGGTCCAGCATAATTTACTCCAAACTTCCTCTTCTTCTCCTCTTCTTTGGCCTTGTGTTCCTCTCGGCTCTCAACTTCATAGGCTTCATACTTAAGTGCTGCCTCCTTGATTGTGGCCATGCTCTCTTCATCAACCCTGTGGATCTTTTCTTTCAATCCTATGCGCAGACCATGCAAGTATCTCATCTTCTTCTTATGCTCAGTATCCGCCAACCCATCCTCAAAGTAAAGCAGTCGAACAAACTTGATGGTGTACTCAGTAACTGTCATATTCTCCTGCTTAAGGTTGGAAAATTCATTGTTCTTTGCCCTGATAAAAGCTTCGGGAAGAAACTCTGTCTTAAAGGCCTTCAGAAACTCCTCCCAGGTGAACTGAACTCGTTCACCATTAACTCTAGAGACTGAGGACCACCAGCTCCTCGCATACCCCTTTAGGAGAAAAACAACATACTGCACTTTTTCCTCTGGGGTTGCATAAAGATACTCAAACACATCTTCCATCTCTCTCAACCACTCTACTACAGCATCTGGGCTCACATCTCCCTTAAAGTCCCTACCACCCAAACTCTTCATCTTTGCATAATCTAATACTGGCGGTCTTGCATCAACCGCCCCCACTCCTCTCGACTGGTCAGTAGGAACATTTTCACAACTTCCGTGCGAGCTACAAGGAAATATTGGCCTTAGATTGATCCACACAAAATTCATTCTTCACCAAATCTCTCACTTGGTTAAAACAAAAAAATTTCCAAAATAATTACTTGAAAACAAATAAGTTCAAAACTCAATTTTGAAAACCATGATGCAGGTAATTTCATCCAATATGCCAATACACATAATCATGTCAAACTCAATTCCCAGTTTAAGTCATTATGGGGTACTCCCCTCCTTAGGAGTGTTTAACCTCCCATAGGGTATAGTACGCCATAACAACAAAAAGAGGGAACCGGGCTCTGATACCAAACTGTAACACCCTACCCTATACGTATTACCTAATCATATTGTTCATACAATTGCAGCGGAAATAATCTCGGGTGTTACATTAATTATCATGATACGACAAACCCGGTATGCCGTGCTAATCCCTCACCAGTTCTGGTCGTTCAAACACCGGTTTTAGCTTCCCGTACTAAAACGTCAATTTCACGAACGAATCCCGAATTAAAATCCGAGACCGTCCTAATACCCCCTGCAGTATCCCCGTCAATATTAGTTCTGGGCTCCAGGCCAAATTCTTGATAAAAACACATCAAACCCTGGCCGGAGCTAAATTCAGCGGTTTGGACCCCGGCCTAAATAATAGCCGAAAATCAGGAATTAGAACTAGGGGATTGATTACCTCGCTGCAGGAAGCTCGTATATGAAATTCGGGCTCAATCTGGCTTCCGGATACTCCGAAACCCTAATTTGGCAGATCGGGAATTCAAGAAATTCCTGAACCAAAAACTCGTTTTAAAACTCTAAATCGATAAATCACGATGTATGGATGAATTAGGCATTACTTACGGGATTTTTGGATCACTGTAGCTCAAGATTGGAGCTTGGGAATTTTTCACAGAAGCCTCCCTGTGCGTGCTCTGCTTCTCGTTTACTCTCGTTTGAGAAATTGAAAAAGTGATGATGATGATGATAATGGACGGGGAAGTTATATATGTCCGGCCGCTTAGTTAATATATATATATATATATATATATATAATTAATACGTATACTTATCCGATCGATCGATAATCCGATTTTCGCCGAAATACTATTAAAACGCTCGATTTTAAATCGCGAACTTTCTAGCGATCAAAATATGGGTTTAGCCGAAATGGGATGTTACACGAAATCTTTTAAGGAGGGGAGAATTGTAACATCCCATTCCGGCAAAACCCAGATTTCGATCGCTAGAAAGTTCACGATTTAAAATCGAGCGTTTTGATAGTATTTCGGTGAAAATCGGATTATCAATCGATCGGATAAGTATATATATATTAACAAGCGGTCGATATATATATATATATATATATATATATATGCCCAGACCATTTCTTCCCATCCAATTCTTCTTCTTCCTTTTAACCGAGAAGCAGAGCGCGCAGGGGAGAGAGACCAGGAAATTCTCTGAGCTCGATTCTTGAGCTTTAGCAATCCAAAAATCCCATAAGTAACGCCTAATTCATCTATACATCGTGATTTATCAATTTAGAGCTATAAAACGAGTTTTTGGTTCAGGAATTTCTTGAATTCCCGATAAGCCAAATTAGGGTTTTGGAGTATCCGGAAGCCGGATTGAGCCTTAATTTCATATGCGAGCTTCCTACAGCGAGGTAATCAATCCTCTAGTTCTAATCCATGAATGGCTAATCAATACTCTAGTTCTAATCCATGAATTTCGGGTATTATTTAGGTCAGAGCCGGGATCGTTGAATTTAGCTCCGGCCAGGGTTTGATGTGTTTTTATCAAGAATTTGACTAGGAGCCTACAACTAATATTGACGGGGATACTGCAGGGGATATTAGGACGGTCTCGGATTTTAATTCGGGGTTCGTTCGTGAAATTGACGTTTTAGTACTGGAAGGTTAAACCGGTGTTTGAACAAACAGAACCGGTGAAGGATTAGCACGGCATATCGGGTTTGTCGAATCACGATAATTATATTGATGCTTAGAATTGACCTAGGTGAACTAGAATGGCATGATTAAGAGTGTATGAACTTTTGTGCTATATGATGAACCATGGACTACTGTATGATATTATTGACTTGCCCTAATCGAGATGGACCTTGTTTATGCTGATGATTTCGTATATGTTGCGAATTGTGGGCTTGACTGTTGATATGCCTTATGATAGTTCGAAAAGGTGATTGGGTATGATTTTTCAAGATTGCTGTATTTGGATGCACATGTGGGAAAATATATATTCCCTGGTGATATTATGACGTTTGAGGAGGATGACTTGCACGAGGGTTTATCCCGAGGAAGTGCAATTATACGACTCCTGATTTACCTATGTTGAGTCAATTGTGGCCAGGTCAAGTACATGTGCAAGTAGCGAATTATGATTAAGAAAGATGAGATATGGATCATGTATAAGGATATCAAGTAAGAGTACTTTGGTCTCATGGTCAATTACATAGTAATTAGGGCTCCCCATGTTGTTACTCCGTTATGATATGTTATGTCACACCCTCGATGTGGTGTTGACCCTTGATTCATCATGAGATATGACCACACCCAGAGTGGTGTTGAGTCCGATATGACCACACCCAGCGTGGTGTCAGGTCCGATATGACTACACCGACAGTGGTGGATCCGATATGACCACATCCACGAGATGTTTGGTCCATATTCCTAGGAGAGTAATTAGCATGGGAGTAGCCAGGCGCCTATGATTAAAACATGATAAGATGCATATGCATAAGTCAAGGTGGTTGAGTCTTTTGCCTATTGGGATGTCGGATGGCTGAGGTCTCATCCTAGTGTTTTGCCTTGATTGTTAGATGTATGGTAGGGGTATGCTCTGTTATGAACTCACGATCCTATGGTTATTTCACTCAGCCATGAGCTGACCCTCTTTTATTCTTCTTCTCTGCTTATGCTATGTGTAAGCAGATCATCAGCAGCAGTAGATAAGTGTTAGGTGGGAGAGGAGCTAGAGTTGAAGCCAGGATGAGGTATGGTCTTCAACTATTCTGTGCTTGGATGACTACTCGGGATTTTGGCCAGTGATCCACACCTTTTTGTAAAAATGTTTTGAGAACATTTTCATGCGCATACTAGCTTCCGATGTAGTGTGAGATATCCACAGGTGTGGAAAGTTGATGATATGTGTATATTTGTGTAATTGTGTAAGTTGTGATGATTACGACATGTATAAGTATGGTATGCAGTTGTGGAGTATGTAAACTGTGACGATGGCTATGAAAGCCAATGTATATGGTTGTGATGAATTATTTTGCAGGATAAGTTGCAAAAACTGTTAGCCCATTACGCGAGTAATTCATGTCGAAATTTTATTTGGTTAAATTTTGATAATTAATGTAACACCCGAGATTAATTCCGCTGCAATTGTATGAACAATATGATTAGGCAAAACGTATAGGGTAGGGTGTTACACTACCTCTGTGTTTAATTGTAAAGGTCACGGGAAATTTGTACCGTGACTAGTACAACTAGTCACGATATGATTTCCCATGATAATTTATATCTATTAATCACGGGAATCCCCATGACTAATATCAAGTCTTATCACACAAAATGGGGGGAAAACTCATTTATTAGTCACAGTATTTAGTTGATTCTCCTATGTCTAGATACTAACATTTGGTCACAGAATTTGGTTAATTCTCCTGTATCTAGATACTAACATTCGGTCACGGAATTTATGAAAAGTTAAATTCCCTAATTAATTACACCTCATTTTTTCCTTTACAAATGAAATGAAGATATCGAGAAATTTACAAATTATGTCGACAGCCAAAAGTCATTACAATTGATGTTCCCTTAATAGCTAATACAAAGTCAAAAAAATGATGTTATTTAATGAAATGAAAATATAAATAGTCCTCTACACTTGCTTTCCTAACAAAATATATAATGAAATGCTAAGGGATTATGTCATAGTTGTGACGTAAACAACCTCACTTCTGCACTTCATCTTGGAGATCGAAATGATGAGTCTAAACATGCCAAGTGAAAGCAGTTTCTATTCTGTTATAAAAGGCGCCAACAATGATATCACAATGTGCCCCTGCGTCAATACAACATCAAATCAGTTCATTAACTTTATTTTCGCAAAAGATTGTTTTATTCAACCACTTCCAGTGAGAAAAACAACAACAAATCTACAGAACTACAACAATTACATCAACCTATTTGGGTGAGAGGCTTTCTTAAACATGGAGATAATAGATGGAACTATTCGGATACTATTTTGAACATTCATCCCCAAGACCTAAACGCAAGCAAACTCTACGGATAGGAGATTCTACAAATTTTACAACTAATTGCTATGAATTTAGTATGCATACTTTAATAACACAACGCAACTCTAGTAATTAAAAACCGTAAGCAATACTCTAAACCAGCGAAAAAAGACATGACAACTGTAAATAAATAAAATGCACCGACAACTACTCACCTTGCAAAGTCAGGATCGTTTGGATGAGGATCAATTTGACATAATTGTTTCATTTTGAGACAATTGTACCAAATTGTCTCGTTTGCCAGCAAGAAATTTGGATGGATCAATCTGCCTGGGGTATTTTGAATTGATCCGTTTTGAGTCAATTTCAATTACCTGGGATGGGGCAGGTAATTCGAATTGACTCATTTTAATTGCCTCGTTTATAAAATGAGACAATTGATCAAATTGACTCATTTCTAGATTGATCCATCCAAATGACCCCTACAAAACACACACCCGTACACACACGACCCCTACAAAACACACACCCCTACAATCTCTTTACAAATACTCTTCCCTCAGCCATTTCCTAATATCACAGAAACAAAATGCAACAAAAAAAAAACCCCCACTAAATTACTTGATGACAATTAAGTCCATAACACTTGGATAAACTAAGTGAACAAAGGCATATGGTATAGCTAGTGCCAACCTCCCTAATGCAAATGTTGGCTTTTCCTTAAGCTGCATCTCCAAAGCCTCGAGCATATCAATCAAGAAGAACTCTTGTACCACAAAAAAAAAGGATGAAATTCAGATTTTGCATTCACGATTTCATAGTGCCTCAAGCAGCAAACCCCCGGCAGAAAACAAGAAAAGCATAAAGAGACTGGGAGACTATACTATAAGTCCAAAAACCTTGCTCTTTGATCACTGCGAGGAGTGACTTCATGGGTAATTCAAGTCCCCTGCAAAAGATTATAGTTCAAGTGGCTAGGATTGGCATGACAAAAAAGCCTCAAACAATAAGAGGACAATAGAGTTACAATGGAAACTAAATTCCATTACATGTCGGGAGAAACAAAGCTACACGAAACCAAGTTTAAAACTGGAACATGAAACTACCAGCCTGCAACCCTGTTTACCTTGTTTCCTTAGAATGTTACAGAACACCAGCAGAAAACATATCATCTGTGATGCGTGATAGCGGAATCTCACATATCGTGGAACTCGAACTCTTCTACGAAACTAATGAAACGCGATAAAGATAGCTAAATTACTCTAATTTACTTTACTCTTATTCATTGCTTACCAAACCCAAAGAACAACGTACATATTTATAGGAAAACGTAAGAAAACCTAATAGCTAACCCTATCCCACTCTAACAAAGTAACTAATACTTACTCAACAAGACACAATAAACTAATACGAATATCCCTAAATAATCACAATAACATGACAATTAACTAATAATAATACCGTAACGACTAAGCCCAACTCGGCACCAAGGCCCACGGGTGCTATAATGCACCAATCTGCTTTCTGAAAATTATGCAACCTTGTAGCGTGCTTTGTCTTTGAAAGATTACTTCAAATTTCTGCATGAGACAAGTCATTTGCTATTTCATTTTCCCATAGGCTGCTTCTGTAAGAAATTGCAGCACATAACAAAAAGAATTATAACAAAAATACATTGTAACATGCAGTAAAGAACATAATTGCATACCCATAA